GAATCAGAATCATGTGACTGCTGGATGCCACTTCAAAAACCAATTGTAGGTCTCTTTTTTTCAGCATCACTACAAATTTGAACTTTGAACAAGCAGTTGGTAGAAAATGATTATCGCTAAAGGAAAGGCTCCCCATTTCAAAAAGCTCTTCAATCTAATGCAATCTAATAAAAAGTCATATCAAATTTCTACAAGTCTAAGAATATGTGCCGAACCTGTACCAAAACAGTTCTTGTGACAATCAGAAACTTTTTTTACAAAATGTTGTTATTTTTACTCGTGTGTGTAAATCACTGTTCTGCATAAGCCAGACCTCTTACCTTTGTCTCTGTGCTAGAGTCTCGCTGACTGCTTGGCTCACCCCGCTTCTCTTCCCTAGTGGCAATCATCTCTCCAGCTTCTTTTACAGATGGGAATGAATTTGCACCCGGAGCCCAGTGATGGCTCTTGATCTTCTGCCCCTTGCAAGCTGCTGTGGTTGGCAATGAGTCTGTAGTAGTATTTCCTCTTTCTCCATTTACCAAACTGCTATCCCCTGCATCACAGTCATTTTGAATGCTCCTGCAGGCACGGTGGGCAGACCACTTGTCTTGGCAGTCCCACTGACTCTGTGCTATTATGCCATTGGCTGTGTGATTCTGTACATCCTGAGACCAATCTCTACTGTTTCCCTGCTCGTGTAGGGGATGCTGGGTGAGGAATTTTGGCTGAGGTGATGGCACCGGTCCATTCTTTCCTTGAGGTTTACCAACTTTTAAAACAGAGGAGTCTTTCTTCAACTCATTGGAAAAGGATGTGCTAAAAAAGAATAAAATACAGAAACTGAATCCTGATGTGTAAACATACATGCAAAATTGGTATAAAAACTAAAACAATAAACAATAAATAAACAATAAAACAAACTAAAACAGTCAAGAAACCATCCAGGAGAAAACCATACCTCTCCAAAACTGACAGAGCAAGCTACTGTATATAAAACAGGGAGAAATTCCATACTCACTTGCACTGATGAAGTTACCTAGTTAGGTAATGAAACATCTGTAAGCAAACAACCAAGCTCAGAGAGCACCAAGGTCTCCACAGCAGGGGACTCCAACCTTGGCAACTTTAAGACTTGTGAACTTCAACTCCCAGAGTTCCTCAGCCAGCTTTGCTGGGAGTTGAAGTCCACAAGTTTTAAAGTTGCCAAGGTTGGAGACCCCTGCTCCAGAGTTATTATAAAAAGCAACTGTGAGATTCACTCACAACAGAAATCTTATTAAAGATTAATAAGGAGGCAAGGATTGAGATTGTTGATTAGATTGAAGTAAGGAAACCCTAGCTTGTGTTTATCTGGCCTTCTCTGAAAGTTATTTGTCTGCATATCTGTCTAATCTATCTATCTATCTATCTATCTATCTATCTATCTATCTATCTATC